CTATCTATCTATCTATCTATCTATCTATCTATCTATCTATCTATCTAAGTTTTTATGCATATTTGTTCATTTAGGAAATCCTATAATTATCTTGCCCAGTGATTTAGTGCTGCATTTAAGTACATCTTGTAAAGTGACACAATGAAATACCAAATTAATCGTCCTATGAGATTCCAGATGCCTGCTGTTTTGGAAAAGTTACTGAAGTTTATGAGAGAACTGAATATTGCAACAGTAACTGTGATCGATATATTTACAAGCACAAAGTAGAGACAGTCTTCGTTCCCCGGTCAGACGGGCACGGGTTGGATATTTGAAACAAACATTTCCAATTGTTATTGAAAGCACCGTTGACAGCGCGCATGCGCTCTTGCCTTGACGACTAGTACCAGGCCAGCCTGGCGCTAAGGTCTTCTTCCGCCGCCATCCTCCGTCTTGACCCGAAGGGCAGCAGCAACCCGCACGAAAACATGAGTTTTACAGTCGAAGAAAGGGGAAACCCGAACTCCTTGAGCTTCCGCTTGTTCTTCAGTAAGTAAATAATGGGAGAAATACCAAAACGTTATCGTTTCTTGCCACTTGAGGTCTCTTTTTCAACAACCTCACGCTAGCCGCAGTCTCCCACGTGCGACTAATTCATTCATTTAGTTATGTTTGTGTTATGTTAGGGGAAACCTAAAGCACTTGAGCTTCACTTGGATTCTACCATCAGGGCTTCTTTGTGCTTTTAAGTTACTCTAATGATCAAATCTTCTCTTTAGTTTGCCGTGTGTACGCACATACACATTTGACTTCAAATATGTCATTTACATCATGAACAAGGATTTTTTAAAGAAGGAAGTAAATCGTTTTTTTCTGGAAATCCCTAAAGGTGTCCACGTCATCTCGGAGCCTAAACGAGCAAGACACCGCCCTCACTGATTATAATCAAGCTATTGATAGATTGCCTGTGGGACAAGACGAGCTTTGCCAGTTTGTGCAAATAATTGATCATGATGATGTAATATTTTCTTTATGTAATGCTTTAAAGCTCCTGTTTTCACCCTTAAACTGAGCTATTTAAGTGTTAGATGTATCCAAATAAGACTAAATGTAACTGGGGCTATAGAATAAAGTGAAAGTAGGAAGATTTAAACACCCATGTCGTTTCCTTATTGTCACCATATTTTATTTACCTGTGATACTCATAAAAGCTTTTTTTCTGACTGCTTTGCAGAAAACGATAAAGGAAAGTACATCTCACCATTCCATGATATACCAGTATATGCTGATGAGAGTCAGGTAAGGGGACCATTGGTACATTTTGCACCTGTATGTATGTAAATATGTTTGTATGTTTTCATTTTATCTACGGATTAAATCCGAACTGCTTTACTGCCACCAGTTTAATTGAGTATTTCTTTAATTTCAGCAGTGCTTCAGCATGCTTTAGATAATATTCTGCAGGATAGCAAGGTCATAGTCTGTTTGAAAGCCAGTGGCCTTCGCTCTTTGCTTTCTCTGTGCTGTGTCAGTCTCGACTGCAGTGGAATATTCATCTTAAAAAGATTAAAAAAAAAAACCTGATAGTTTTTTCCTCCCTCATAGAACATCTTCCACATGGTTGTCGAGGTACCAAGATGGACGAACGCAAAGATGGAAGTAAGACTCTTATGTCTTTGTTTTGTCAGATCTTATCTGGCTCTGTTTACTTTGGACCACAGTGGTAAAGGGTTTTCACACTGCTGTAAATCAGCTTGTGAACAGAAACACAAAAAGGAAACCAGCGTTTTCAAAACTAGTTTCATTGTTGTAGCTCATCAGTTGATAATTTGTGCACACACACAAGTAAGCAGCAAAAGGCGTGTATTGTGCCGCTCTGACCCTGTTATCGACATGTTATCAGTCATTACGCCACGTTGTTTTTTAAACATAAGCTTGCCAAACCATCCAAATGTGAAACTAAAAACTATTCATGGAAAGTCACCCGAGTACATTTACTCAAATATCACATTTAAATCTCAAGGAGGTATTAGATTTGAATTGTTAACAGCCTTTGTACTTGCACCATAAACCCTTGTCATTTTGCTACTCGTACGCTTAACAACCTTTGATGACTGAGCTCAACAGTAAAAAAAAAAAAAAGCATTTAAAATGTTATTTTATATATTAATAGAAATAAATTGATCAGTGTTGTGAAGTTCCTAAAACGGCACAGAGGAACATTTAATCCCTGAACACATTATAAATTAAAATATTGTTAATGCAGTTCTAATTGTTTAGATATGTCTAACTCTGTGACATGAGTACTTTGATTTTTAATACTTTTGAATTTCTTTCATTTCTACTCATTTTAAACATAAGATTTTCAGGTGAACTAATTGCACCAGTTTACATTTAGCTTGGTTTATTGCTACTTTTATCTGTGTGAATGGTTAGTGATTGAATATTAAAGCTGCCCAGTTTATATAATAATGTCATGCTGTTAAACCACTCTTTATACTGAGAAAGAAATGTTGAGAAATAATTATTCAATATATGTTTTTTAAATGTTGTGTTTACGTAGTTATACCTAATGTGTATGGTTATTTTTAGGCAATTATAACTTTTTCAATGATAGACATTTTTTTCAGATTGCTACAAAGGACTTCTTGAATCCATTAAAGCAAGATGTGAAAAAGGGGAAGTTGCGCTATGTTGCTAATGTTTTCCCACATAAAGGCTATATTTGGAATTATGGAGCAATTCCTCAGGTTTGTATAACATTTATTACTTATCTTTACCAAAATAAATATGTGTAATTGCCAAGTAGTAATAGCATCATGCTTATGGTACTTAATTTGTTTTATGTGTTAGACATGGGAAGATCCAGCGCACAAAGATGGAGACACCAGTTGCTGTGGCGACAACGATCCCATCGACGTTTGTGAAATTGGCAGCAAGGTACACAAGTCCTGTTTTACCATGATGCATGGTTTTTATCATTTATTTACATTTGCATAACTTAAGCCAGCAGAAAATATACTGTTATTTTCTGTGAATCTCTCGAGTGTTGGTAAATTTGCTCCAAACTGAAATGTCCTATGAAGGTGTGCTCCCGTGGGGATGTGATCAGAGTGAAGGTGCTGGGTATCCTGGCCATGATTGACGAGGGTGAAACTGACTGGAAAGTGATTGCAGTCAACGTCGAGGACCCTGAAGCCAATGACTTGAACAGTAAGCACCTTGGTTTACTCCGTTTGGTTGCATCTACAGTCCTGCATCTGTGAGGCCGTGTTTATTTTGTCCCTGTCGATGTTCAGACATTAGTGACGTCCAGCGCCTAAGACCTGGTTACCTGGAGGCAACAGTCGACTGGTTCAGGAGATACAAAGTGCCTGATGGGAAACCAGAAAATTGCTTTGCTTTCAACGAGGAGTTCAAAGACAAGGTTTTCCTCGCTACCACACTTTTTAATCAATGTTTAACATTTGCAGACATAAAATTAACTTACCGTATTTTTCGCTGAATAAATATTTATAAACCAATTTTTGGTTGAGATATGACTGTTTTCATTCATTCTGACAGAAATATTGAACTCTACCGTTTTCGACCACTAGATGGCAGCAGAGTAGTATGGCATGCCGTTGTGTCATGTAATGGGTAAAAGTGGCTATTAATGACATAATCGGCTTACCATCGACTCCCACCTTTGTTCAGCTGGCCTGGCGCAATCGTCAAATCAGCTTCATTTAGATGTGCTGCCCCGGCAAAATTAAGCTAATTTGACCATTGAAATGTATTTATTAAGTAGAAGTTCAACTGAGACACACCTTTACTATAAAGTTGCGCAAACAAATAATTGTTTTAAGTGCTTACTTATCTAGTTAAAATTTTAAGAATTGTGCCGCGTTCCTCCTTCCTTATTTTTCCTCCCTCTGCGCACTCCCAGAGCACCGAGGCAGTGAATACTTGTGAAATACAGCTGATTTGACTGTTAAAGTCCTTTTATTAAGTAAAAGTTAAACTGAGACACATCCAACATTTTTCAGTGAGGTCATCTTGACAGTTTCTTTTTTTTTTTGTGCTGAAACGTTTCGCCTTCGGTCCAGAAGGCTTCATCAGTCAAGGAAACACAACAAAACTGATTCTTCCCCCAACAGCTTACTCCAAAGTGGAACAAACCAGTTCTGCTTGTGATAAGATGGTCTCTTTGGTACGCCCCCTCCTCCATTGCTGGCCCTCTTCCTTGTTGACAGTTGTGTCAAACTGGTTGAAAACAACAAAGTCCATGCTCAATAATCCAGGTATACAATCCAACAATTTTCAGTCAGGTCATCTGGACAGTTTCTTTTTTTTTTTTTTTGGTGCTGAAACGTATCACCTTCCATCCAGAAGGCTTCATCAGTCAAGGAAACACACAACACAAAACAGATTCTTCCCCCAACAGCTTACTCCAAAGTGGAACAAACCAGTTATGTTGGTGCTAAGATGGTTTCTGGTTTTGAAGCAGTTTGACATGACTGTCGATAAGGGAGAGGGCCGGCACCAGAGGAGGGGGCGTGCCAAAGAGACCAACTTAGCACCAACATAACTGGTTTGTTCCACTTTGGAGTAAGCTGTTTGTGGGAAGAATCAGTTTTGTGTTGTTTCCTTGACTGATGAAGCCTTCTGGATGGAAGGTGAAACATTTCAGCACAAACAAACAAAAAAACTGTCCAGATGACCTGACTAAAAATTGTTGGATTAGACTTAGACACACCTTTACTATAATTCTGAGCAAACAAACAATTGTTTTTAATTTTTAATCTTGTTAAATTCTTGTTAATGTCCTCCTGTGCATGCTCCCGCGGCCGCCATTTGGCAGCCAGTCGATTTTTGGCACAACACCGGCCCACATTTTCAGGTTGTCAGTGGTGACGCGTAACAAATGTGACGTGTTAGCGGTGATGCATAATAGATGCGACGTATACAGCGAAGCAATATATTTATGGATTTTTCCACTTTATTAGACATATTTGGACTGATGCAACTTATAGGGCGGTGCGACGTGTACGGCGGAAAATACGGTATAGCACAATGCTATAGAAAATTGGGATTTTTGCAAAAATCATAAAAACCTTATATGCATGTAAGTGATCTGTATTTATTGTTTCAGGACTTTGCCATTGAAGTAATCAAGAGCACTCACAACTTCTGGAAAGCACTCATTTGCCAGCAGACTAAAGCTGGAGAACTCAACTGGTAAGCATTTCAGGCAAGAAGGCTATTTTTTTATTTGTATTTTTTTAACATTGGTACGTGCACATTCAGAAGGCTCTCTGTTATAACTGTCCTAACATTAATGTCTACAAACAGCAAGAACACGTGTGTCTCAGCTGGTGACAGCCCGTACTGCTGCTCAGCAGATGAGGCCAAAGATGCTGTTGGTCAAGTAAGATTTCCCATTTTCCATTTGGCAACACATTTCAACACAAAGTCACTCCAACTAACTTTTTATTCTCTTGCAGACTTGTCCTTGTGGAAAAGAAGAGCCCATCCCTTCATCAGGTAGCCTTTTATAATTTTTCCTGCCAGTAACAGCAATAAATATATATAATTCTTTCTGATTATTTATTTGTTATTTACATTTATTTACCTTTTATTTAACCAGACAAATCCCTTTGAGGTCACAATCTCTTTAGTAAGGGAGGCCTGAGCCTGAAGGCAGCCTAACATGCATTTTAAATGACTGATATATTTCTTTTTTCATTTGCAGTTGATAAATGGTTCTACTACGAGAGGAAGTAATCCAGGAACTGTATGAGTTTGGAGAAGAAAACTCATATGTGACAGAAATACTTGAAGAAAAACTTTTATTAGGAACCAGTAGGATGGTTGGGGGTGGTTGGGTTAGGGTCATCTGTCGTTTTATAGACGGGTAAGGTAGTCGGTAAATCCTGTAGAGGAGTTCAAGTGTATTCAAGTCACGACCAACGTGTATTTTACGCTTAAAACAAAGATCTCTTTAGAGATGTGCTGTTAAACCAAGTGCAGGTACTGTGTTTCACAGAAACTTGTAGTGTATGATGCTGACACTTTAATAAAGCTTCTCTAGTTAAGTTATTATCAAAGTGTGAATTTAATGAGTGGAGCCATGTGGTGGTTTTATTTTTATACTGCTGCCACCTAGTGCACATTGTATGAAATGTGTCAATTTGTGTGTGTGTGTGTGTGTGTGTGTGTGTGTGTGTGTGTGTGTGTGTGGTCATTCAAAATGTTTTCCTGCCTTTTTTTTAGTTTTACATTGTTTTCAATCTGACACTTCTGCATACCTTGTGTCATTTTGCCATGCGTTCATTTATCAAAACTTTCAGCTCATTCAGGCAATGGGTGCTTTTTGTAACATTTCAAAAAAATTATCTTTTTATTTACAATTATTCTCAATAGAAACGCTTAAAGATCGCAGTTCCTTCAAAACTCTGTTCCATTTGAAATCTGCAGACTTGTTTTATATTTGTTTTTGTGTTTTTTGTCTTGACATTTCTGCTACTATTAGCTATAGCTTTTTGTTTAGCGTGCTTTTTAGCTACCACTTTGCTACTTTTGCTTTTAATTGACCATTTAAAATTTTTAGCTAACTCATTGCTGCTTTTAGCTAGCATTTAGTTTTTTTTTTTTGCTTTCTGCTTCTGTTTAGCTACTTTAGCTATTTTAGCTACTCCACTATATTTAGCTTTGAGTGAGTGTTGTGCTATTTTTGACATGTAGCTAATAATTGGTTTATTTGTCAAGAGATAAATGCTAATGTATCTAAATTTTTCTCAGTCGTCCTTGGATAGGTGTTACATGTCAATCTAAAAATAAAATGCAAAATTATGAAAATCTTGGAATAGAAAATAAAAAAAGTAGCTGGTATTTATTGGCTTTTAGGTAGTGTTTAGCTTTATTAAGCTCTTAGCTGGTCTGCTTCTTTTAGCTTTTTATTAGTTTTGAATTTAGCTTTAACAACTCATTTCCTTCACATTCATCAATCACTTTCGGTACTCTGCTCTCAAACTGCATTTTTTGCAGATATTTTTTTTTTCTCTAGTTATCTTTAGGTTTTATTAAAACATTGCACGATTAATAGAATAACCACAAGTCTTATTCAAGAAACTATGACTTGCATATCAAGGACAAAAATGGAGTGGTGGCGCAGCGGTTGGAGAAGGTAGGGCTGTGATCGGAAGGTCACCGGTTTGACTCCCTGGACCAACATCATCAAAATGTGGGTGGAAAAGGTGAAACACACCAGTCTCCATCCTCGCATCTCCACTCTGGGCCCTTGAGCAAGGCTTAACCCCCACCATCTGCTCCCTCGGGTGCCAGTTCTGGCAGCTCTGCTCCATACAGGGCTGTGGTAGCTTGGTGGTGTGTGGTTTGGTCAGGAAGGGCATCCGGCGTAAAAAAAAAAATTGCCAAGTTTTCATGAGAATTAAACTTTAACTTCATTTGGAGAAATAAACATAAAAAAGAAGATGCAGTTAAAAATTAACAAGATGGAGGAAATAAAATAATAGATTTTGAACTAATGAATGGCATCTTAAAACTTAAATGGCTTCAGTCCTTAAAAATGATCATGAGATTTGGTTTGCTGTGTCACTGGTTTTTAGTAAAGTTGAAGGTATTGACTTCCTGTTAAGATGTGACGTTGACATTTCTAAATTACCTGTTAAATCATCTGCTTTTCACCAACAGGTGTTATTAAACTGGAAAATGGCAAATAAAAATAACTTCAGTCCTCACAATGTTCCTTTTTGGAACAACAGAGTTATTTTACAAAGAAGGAAAATTGTGTTCATGGAAAAATGGATGGAGAGGCAAATATGGTCACTCACTCATTTAATGGATGAAAATGGAAATTATATGAATATGAAGAATTCATTAAAAAATATAATCTAATCTGTACCAAAGGAGACTGACAAAATTAAAAATATACCAATTGCATTTTTTTTCCAGTTAATAAAGAACAATCATGAAACTAAACCAACAATTAGTTTACCGAGCATCAATGTCAATGGACTTAATTTAATACACAAAAAATGCAATAACCATTTTTTAAAGACATTTAATTTAAAAAATAGTAAGTTTTACGATAAGAAGGAAAGAATAAAAATAATGACGAAATATGTGGGTTTTCCTCTTCCCCTAAATATAAAGAATTGCATTTCAAAACTTTAATATCTATCCTTCAAACGAGATGATCAGAAGTAGAAATGGATCAGGTAGAAGTAGATGAATGAAGCCTCCTCGTGACGTACTTCCGGTTTACTGTCGGCCTCGCAGCTTCACGTCAGTCGGTGTGACAGGACAAATACTAACCAACAAGGAGTTTACTAACTCGACAGTCCAAGGTAAGATCACCAGTTTAGTAAATAAATTCATTTTAGTATAAAAATGGCCTTTAATTTCACCGGGTGAAAACTTTTTACGGTTTAATTTGTTATTATTGAACTGTTATGCTCATTCTTTGCACGTTCTTGTTAAAGTTGTTTACTCCAAGCTGTTGTTTACTCTTCTTAAAGTTGTTTACTCTCTGACAACTGATTGTTACGAAGGGTGTATAATGAGCCGAAAGGTGTCTCGAATTGTGACGTTACTAGGAAAAATGTTTAGAAAATTTTAGTTTTGGATTTAGAGGTTTGTTTTACTTTTTTTGCGTATTTTTCCTTCGGAGTTTTGAACTAAGATTTGAATAAGAAAACTAATGTGTTTATGAGGAGGAACTGTGCAGCAGTTTTTGTTTTATTTCAGTTTTAGTATATGCATGTAGAATATTTAAATGCTGTGCAACAGACCTGTGGAATGTTGCGTTCACTGACACGTTGTATGGTCATCAGCAGTTGGGTAATTTCTGGAAAGCTTGGTCAATAAAAGGCGTCTCTTTCACTGCAACAAGAACACAGAGTTCAGTCTGTCACAGAGACAGGTGTTTGTGTGTTCATGAGGGGGAGGAAGGGGATGACTGTTCAGATCAAGTGTCTTTCTCACAGCTTGTAATATAAATAGTCAGCAGAAGATCAGTGCAGCTGAGTCTCAGAACAAACCAGAGCCCAGAAGAACCTCTGGGCCCATTTGCTGCTGTGTTGACCCCCTTTTCTTTCATGCTTTAAATTAGTGTGATTACACAGAGCTTACACATACCAACGCCAAAGCCAGAAGTACTGATCAACAAGATGTGAGGGATTCTATAACAGAACAATGGACTTCTTCAAAACAATCTTTATATATATTTATAAGTACATACATAGGTGGTTATGTTCTGGTTTGTTTAAAATAACCTCACACAAAAGGCTGTTCTGCTTAGTTTTTGTTTTCTGTATTTCAGGTAGCCAAGAGAAATGTCTTTTGTATTTGACTGGATCTACAAAAGCTTCAGCAGTGTCCTGCAATTATTAGGTATAGTGTGGTACATAACTAGTAGTTTTGTACAAACTGAATTGTCATTTAACATACAGAAGACAGTTGAGGTTGTTCCCATCATAAATGTCTGCACGGCAGTCAACCTCGTGAGTCAATAATTTTAAGAGAGTACAATAAAAAAATACAATTCAGTGCCTGAATAAAGAATGAAAATACACACATGCAAAGGGAGACATTTGTACGTTAAAAATTAATGCACAGTGATGCTGTGAGATTTGAGGTTTTTAATCACACTCGGAATACACACTGTGGGAATTTATTTAAATATGTATTCATCTTTTTAAAGGGCTTGAACAGACAAAATTAGAATTTTGAACTTCAAACCTAAAAAGATAAATAAAGTAGGAGTTAATACTTTCTCAAGGCACCATACTTTTAGGCTCCAAATCCACCTTTTTTACATCAGTCTGCAAAGCGTTTATAGAATGTTTCTAACTGTTTCCAATTCATTTGAATTAAATTTTTCTTATCAGGGTTGTACAAGAAGACCGGGAAGCTGGTTTTCCTAGGACTAGACAATGCAGGCAAAACAACACTTCTGCAGATGCTCAGAGACGACAGACTGGGACAGCATATGCCAACGTTATACCCAAGTACTTCCAGCAGTTCGACATGTTACACAATCTGCCTCTTAGGTTTTATCGCTCCTCTAATGTCAGTGCTTCCTGTCTGCTCTCAGCATCTGAAGAGTTGACCATAGCTGGAATGACGTTCACCACATTTGACCTCGGAGGTCATACACAAGGTGTGAGTACAGAAAATGTGGCTGACATTTGGATCATAGAAAGTTGTAATGGTGCATTTGCAGGATGTTGCATAAATAGTGAAATGTTTTTTTTTTGCAGCACGAAGAATCTGGAAGAATTACTTTCCAGCCATTAACGGTATAGTCTTCATGGTGGATTGTGCTGATCATGTGCGACTAGCAGAGGCTAAAGCTGAACTAGATGTGAGTTTAAATTAATTTGTTGTCATCTCAACACCGTTCTTTATAGAAATTATTGTTTGGACTGATCTTTATGCTTGACACTTTTAGGCCATCTTAACAGATGAAACCATTGCTAACATCCCAGTTCTGATCTTGGGGAATAAAATAGATCGTCCAGAGTCCATCAGTGAGGACGCACTCAGAGGAGTGTTTGGTCTGCAAGGACATACAACTGGAAAGGTAATGGACAAATGGATGATGCACTGATGTGTAGTAGTAAAAATAGCTCTATCAGGGGGTTTGTTTGGTTAAGTTTAACAGATATTATAAAAAATTGCAACATTTGCAGTCCTGAATATGCTGGATCTCACAAAGCCTCCTGAAGATGAGCTACTGAATTCAAAGCTGCTTGATTATATTTTACAGTTTGAGCTTCTGATACAAGTGTGAACAGGAGAAACTGGAGAGTGAGAGCTGATTGACTTTGCTGAAAATTGCAGAAGCTGAAACTGAGTTGGTACCGCTAAAAGAAGTAGAATGCTAGCTAAAAGTTAACTAAAGCAAAGTACAAGCTAAAAGGAGCTTTTTTTTATTTATTTACCCTTTATTTATCCAGGTAGTCTCATTGAGCCACAAGAACTCATTTTCAAGAGAGACCTGTTTAGGGAGCAGATGGTGGGGGTTAAGGGCCTTGCTCAGGGGCCCAGAGTGGGGTGAATGAGGGTGGAGGCAGGTGTGGGTGTTTCACCTTTTCCACCCACATTTTGATGTTGACAGTACCGGGAGTTGAACCTGTGACTTTCTGATCATAGGCCCATCTTCTAACCTCTGCGCCACCACTTCCCAATGAATGAGGGTAATGAGCAAAACAGTTAAAAGTTAATAAACAAAATGCCCGTTAGAAACTACAAGTATCAAAGGCTAACTAAAAGCTAAAAGTTACAAAAGGCTAGTTAAAAGTCAAACAAGCTATAAGTAGGACATCGTTGTAAAAGAGACTAATAATCTCAATGGATTGCAATAAACTAGCACAGGACCCACTGTAGTTTGCTTATCGGTGTGGACTTGGAGTTGAAGATGCCATCATACACCTGCTTCAGCAAACTCACTGTCAAGTAGAAAAGGCAGACAGCACTGTGAGAGTCATGCTCTTTGATTTCTCTAGTGCATTTAACACAATCCAGCCTGATCTGCTTTGTCAGAAACTCCAGAAGACTCGGGTAGAGGCCTCAACAATCACCTGGATCAATGACTATCTGACAAACAGACCACAGTTTGTGAGATTGAAGGGTTGTGTGTCTGACCAGGTGGTCAGTAGCTCAGGAGCACCACAGGGGACTGTACTCTCACCATTCCTTTTCACTCTGTACACCTCAGATTTCCAGTACAAAAACAGACTCCTGTCATCTGCAGAAATATTCGGATGACTGCAGTAGTCGGGTGTATCAGAGATGGACAAGAAGCTGAGTACAGGGAACTGGTGGATCGCTTTGTGGAAACAATCATCTCATCTTGAATGTAAACAAAACAAAGGAGATGACTGTAGATTTCAGGAGAAACAGAAACAGGTTCAACACTATTTCCATCATGGGAGAAGAAGTGGAGGTGGTGGAGAAGTATAAATACCTTGGGCTTCACCTGGACAACAGACTGGACTGGAAATGCAACAGTGAAGCATCTACAAGAAGGGACAGAGCAGACTGTACTTCTTGAGGAAGATGAAGTCCTTCAACATTTGCAGCAAGATGCTGCATATCTTCTATAAGTCTGTTGTAGAGAGCGCTATCTCTTCTGCCATCTTCTGCCTCATTTTCCTCTTGAGAATACCTCATAGATTCTCAATGGGGTTTAGGTCCAGCAAGTTGGCTGGCCAGTCAAGCACTGTGGCATGGGCATCAAACCAGGTTTTGGTGCTTCTGGCGGCTTGGGCAGGGGCCAGGTCCTGCTGGAAGATGAAATCTGCATCTCCATACAGATCCTCAGCAGAAGGAATCATGAAGTCCTCTAAAACATTCTGGTAGACTGTTGTGGTGACCTTGGATTTAAGAAAGCAGAGTTTACCAACACCTGCACTGGACATTTCCCCCAAATCATGACTGATTGTGGATATTTCACAATGGACCTCAAGCAGTATGGGTTCTGTTCCTCACCTGTCTTCCTACAAACCCTTGGACCTTGATTCTGAATGAAAGGCACACTTTACTTTCATCAGAAAAGAGGACAGAGGAACCCAACAGTTGTAGCCCATCTCCCGGATGCGTCTGTATGTGGTGGTTTTTGAAGCTGTGACTCCTGTCTCATTCCACTCTTTCTGGATCTCTGCCAGATTCTGGATCTTCTCTGTTTGATGATCCACTGAAGCCCACGGTCATCTCTTTTGCTGTTGCATCTTCTCCTGCCACATTTTGCCCTTCCACGAGACTTTCCAAAGATATGCTTGGACACAGCACTCTGTGAACAGCCAGCCTCCTTAGCTATGAACTTTTGTGGCTTACCCATCCCATGGAGGGAATCAACGATGGTCTTCTGGTCAGTTGTTATGTCTGCAGTCTTCCCCATATTGAACTGAACTGAGACAATTGAACCAAACTGAAGCGATGTAATGACATCTGGGGAAACCTGTGCAGGAGCTTTGAGTTTAGTAGATGATTAGTGTGTCACACTTAGTTGAAAACATTCATGCCCTGCAAAATTTGAGCTGATGTCTCCACAGTATTCTAATTTTTTGAAATCCTGTGTTCGTGGGTTTCATGAGCTGGAAGCCCAAATTATGTAAAAATAAACAAATAAATACTTGAAATTGTTTAAATTGTGGGCCCTGGATCTATCATCTATTAAACGTTAACTTTTTGAATGGAATTATAGAAGTTAAACAACTTTTCCTTGATATTCTAATTTTTTGGAAAGGGTCTGTACTAAATGTAACAGAATGATAGCCAGCTAAAACTACAGCAAGTATGCTGAAGCAGATTTAAAAGAAAACAATATTTTGTAAGAATTGAAGAATGCATTTTATATGGAAAATGTTTGTAAACAAAGAAATATTTTGAAAGATAAGTATGTAAGTTATTAAAACCGAAAGTTGCAGCTCCCATTTTCTGAATGAGCTCAATGTTTTGATAAAGAAATGGCTAAAATAGCAGAGAGGTTGCAGAAGTTTGCAGAAGTATGCAAGTTTGCAGTTTGCAAAAATGTACAGGGGAAAAAATAAACAGAATAATAATAGTGTTACCAAAGGCAGAAAAAAAAGAGTATTGATCACCATTTGTGTTGGTACATACATTTGCAAAAGGAGACAATAATCTATTTGGAAACATTTGGCTCATCCCCTGACTTATAGGATTTTATTTTCATTATTGCTGTATGTCTTGTGAGGAAACCGATCATTAAGATGCAGGCTGCAACATTAGTGCCAATAAGAGAAGTTATTCGTATCACATAAATCCTTCCTTACTTATACCCACTGTAAATTACAGATTTAGAGTTAGTCCTATTCACTGTTTGTGGGTAATGTGTGATTTGTACATGTGCTTTTGTAAATGTGTGCACATGTGTTTTTGCTTCTTTTCAGGGCACAGTATCACTGAAGGAGCTGAATCTGAGGCCATTGGAGGTTTTCATGTGCAGTGTGCTGAAGAGACAGGGATACGGAGACGGTTTCCGCTGGCTCTCTCAGTATATTGACTGATTCCAGATGTTTTTAATAACCTTAATCAAATTTATTATGCTGCCTGTGCACACTCGCACACACGCACGCACACACAAAAAACGGGTTCCACACAAAAGTACTTAAAGCAAAAATGTCTTTTGCAAAAATAAAAAACTATCTGGTATTCTGATTAACAGTAATGGAAACATTATAAGTATTTATTAATACACAACGTATAGTCATCATTGTGGTTCCTACTATATCTTAAACATGCAGTGGATCCTGTCTGCCTTAAACATCATGTTACTGAGAACTCGTTTTATATTTAGCTGCTGGTGTTGATTTGCAGTGAAGGGCAATTTAACAAGTTGCAGGCTTGGAGTAGCTCCCACTGAGGTGATGATAAAATGTTTGTTTTTTTTAAATCACAAAAATACTTTTTTCAGGGAATTAGGAATATTGATGTTCATAACAGTATCCTGCTCCCTCCATGGATACTGATAGTAATAATTCAGTAGATTTTTTTTTGGTAAAAGTTTTACGGCTGCAGACAACTATATGCAAGTGACCGACCACAAGTGCATTTATTTTCATGAGGAGCGTTATTTAAGTAAACGGAAATAAATAACTGCAGTACATCTGCATCACCAAGTAAAGTAAAACGCATATTATTGCATAAATGAAGCCAAACAGTAATAATAGTTTTCTTGATGCTTTGAAATAACTTGAGTACTTTGTGATTGATTGCTGCTCACAATATGCAGAGATATTTTGAGAGTACTCTGGTAATATTTAAAAGTATAGTTGCAAAACATTTGCAATAAATTACAGTGCAATATTATATTTATTTTGTGTTTAAAAAAATTCTATTTATATTTTGAGAGAAAAATAGGCTTTTTTTTGCTACAAAAGTCACATAATTTGTGTTTTGACTTGTGTGAAAATGTAGCATAATAAATATGTTTGACAATCCTTTTCTCCATTTTTTGACTTATTGGTGTTGATTTTTTTTAAATGTGTTGCATTAGACAAGGTCAAATTTGCTTTTTAAAACTTGAAAATAATGTGCTCGTAACAAGCAATTTTGTTTTAATAAGTAAATTTTTAAGTTGAATTAAGCAGCTTGCTTTAATATAAAAAACGTTTTAAAATTGATCTGTCACATGAATTTAATATAAATTACTGTTAATATAATTTCATATAAATGGGGGCATAGTCCCTATTTATATGAGACTTACTTTTCAGTCTGTGTTTTTGTCTGCCTTTCCTTAACTTGACAGTCAGATTGATGTAAGACCCTTTACTATTTCTTTTTATATTGATTCAAAGTATGTCTTACTATGTACATAAGGAAATATATCAAAATATTGTCGTTTTTTAATTAGCTTAAAATTATTACAAAGTAAAATTTTAATTAGAAACTATGATTACAACAGTGCCACCTTTTTGGGAGACGCAGTACAACAAAACAAGCGTCTACGTTATTTCACTCTCGTTTCCTATTGGCTAACAAGCCTAACACACTGACCAATCGTGTGAAAGCGTGACACCTAACCAGGAAGTGTGAATCAAACAGTCTGTCGGCAGAAGTTAAAACTTGAATTCGCTGTGCCATTTCATACCATAAATGAGGCTCGTCTTCCTATGTCAACATTAGTCAGTAGATATTTGTAATTTGTTACTTTCAAAGAATGTTTTCCTTTAGATGACCCGTTCTGCTTTTTGGTGCTTTTTCGGTATGGAGTTAAAGGAAGTAGAGAGCTGTTGCTGTGTGGTCAAGGTTCATTCAGGGGGGGCTTCAGCTAAAAAGTTAATCAGCTGCAGCGGTGTCATCGTCCATCCTCAGACCAGCTCCATCATATGCACCGGCCTCCCGTTTTCACGGTTTATTACCGACAGACAGTCCCTCTCGGAGTCTGGTGTTCTGTTCCCGCGCAGCTTCAGCAGCAAACTCAAAATCCGCGTCAGTTTTCCAGCTCCCACACATCTGGACTCTGAACTGAGCCCACAGAAGGCGTCTTCCACTCCCCCTGGAAACAGACCAGGTCGGCAAACAGAGGTTTCAGCACAGCTGTTGATGCTGGTGAACTGCGTGCAGTTCAAACAAGCCTTCCTGGGCGTTTTCAAGGAGGCAGAGCAGTGGCGTTTCCATGGTGATGATGATCAGGATGATGAGCTGATCAGGGATGCACAGTTCCTCAGCTGGTTTGCTGTGCTCAGGGCAGATGTGTTGGTGGACAGCAACTCAGGTGCAGGGACCGTCCCCTGGCAGAGCAGTTCGTCTCTTCAGAAAGGCTGCCCGGTTGTGGCCTGTGGCTCTCCCTTTGGCTCCCTCTGCTTAGATCTGTTCATCAGCACCCTAAGCCGAGGGATCATCAGTAACCTGACTGGAGAAGACAATGCTGTAATCCTCACAGATGCTCGCTGTCTGCCAGGGACAGAGGGCGGGGGGCTGTTTGCAATGGAAGGTGCAGAGCGTGTGCGTCTCATTGGGCTGATTGTGTCTCCGTTTGGCTGGAAGGCGAACGAGTGGATTGGCCTCACTCTTGTCTGCTCCATTCGCTGCATCTTCAGGGACATCATCCAGTGCACAAGTGATCAGAATCCTCTCTGTGATGCTTGGCTCCATTCAGGAGAAGCTGACCTCCACATGTGCACGAGAGCTCAGGTGTCCGAAGCTGTTAAATACCCCACTGTGTGCTTTGTGGACAGTGGGCAGGTGTGGGGCTCAGGGGTTGTTGTCACCCCAAAGCTGGTTGTGACCTGCCGGCACGTAGTCAACGGGAAGTCTTCAGTCACTCTGAAGTTCCATCACAGAAGAAGGTGATAAAACATTTATGTAATAAAAAAAAAAAATCTAAATGTGCCTAAATCATTCAGTTACACAATAAAACTGTGACACAAATAATGTTCTCAAAGTTTTCTCAAATTTTATGCAAAGATCTTGTGCAACAAGTATCACTGAAAGGGTGCATTGTTAAAGATATTTTAGCTGCAACCACAGCAAATTTTAACACAGTATCAGTAAATTGATTAATATCGAGTGGGAAAACAAACAAGATGTAAAGTATCACAAATAAATTTGATTAAAAGTCAGACAGAGAAGGCTTATAAATAAAGTGTAAAAAAGTAAATGTTTTATCAAATACACAAATGATAAGAAGAATATCAAATTAATTTAAACTAAATGCATTGCATAAATAAATTGCATAAATGAAGACTCTAATAAACAGTTAAATACAATTCATATGTATTAAAGCTGCAGTAATATGAGATTTCACATTTTGTTTTGGTTATTTCTCTTTTGCAGAGTCTGTCAAATTGTTGGTGACATCTTGTTCTCCACCAAACCATCTTCACCGTATGATTTGGCTTTTGTTGAACTGAAAGTACCCGTCCCAGAAGCTGCGCTCCCTCGAATGTCACAGAGCTTCATTCCAGGTTTGAATCAGATTCTGAGCTGAGCTCCTCATCAAACTGCAGTAAGGTAGATTCTTGTTGTCCGTCTTTCTCCAGGTGCAGCTGTGGTTGTCGTGGGATACGGAGGGTTGGGTCGAAACTGTGGTCCATCGCTAACCTGTGGTGTCGTCTCCAAATCCATCAGCGTGAACCGCCAGCCAGTCATGCTCCAGACCACATGTGCAGTCCAAGCAGGAGCCAGCGGAGGTGCTGTGGTGCACAAACATTCTGGAGAGCTGCTGGGTAAGGAGTCCTACAAAACCACCTCTTGAACAGTGGGGGGCACTTGTTGACCATAGGGAAGAAAAAAAAGCTGCATCAGATTGGTTAATCTGTGCTGCTGTATTTGCACTCTGAATAAACAAAGATTTGCTGTGTTGCAGGAATTGTGTCCAGCAATGCACGGGACGTGGCTGCAAGAGTGACTTATCCGCACCTTAACTTTATCATCCCAGTGACGGTTTTCCAGAGATCGTTGCAGGAGTTTCACCACACCAGAGACGCTGATGTGTTCAGAGCACTGAACACTACAGAAACAGAAGCCAGGCGGGTGTGGAGGCTACAAGGTGCACAAAGCAAACTGTAACACAGGGTCACGGCACTTTGAGGCCAAAGCATTTCAAATTCAAATGAATCATGTGATGAATCATATTAAATGATTGTGTAATTTTTGTTTTTAAAGGACACAAAATTTCATTTGAGGGATGAATTATTACTGCGACATGAACACAGAATCATGATGAATTCTAATTTATGAATAAATATTAACAGCCTTGTTTGTTTCGTTGCACTTTAATACGAATAAAACAAATATCCTACTAACATTCTGCGCACAGAGTGTAGGTTATTATTTTCAAATTGTCTTTATTGTAACAATAAAATAACTATTTATGACAAGGTAATTACCAATTGAGCTACTAAAGTGACTTGGGTAAGTTTAAGAAGCTGCATCTCTATGTAGATTTATCAAAAAAAAAAAAATATATATATATTGTAGAACAAAGTGTTACATCTTTGCTTATTTTTCAGTGACAGAATCAAAGATTTATTTCTGGAAGTCTGAGGGTTTAAATCAGCTGCAAAGGGTCTGTTTCCAACAAGCAGGAGGAATATTCAGCCTAACAAGCTGACAGGTTGTAGGAAATGATTGGTCCCTCTGGGTGGTTAGAGTGCTGGTTTAAATATCAGGTGTTCTGACATCTGTTGGCACGAATACCCCAGTTACAGCAAACATATTTGAGGTTTCACCCAGCGGGACCTTACTGGTGCTGATTTCCATCAGCACAGAAACTCGAAACTGAGAAAAAGACTTTTCAAAGGATTGGTCGCTGTCAGTTTGTTCAATGCTAAGACAAGCTTTTTTTTCGCTTTTTACTCCTAAAGACATGCAGACACCAAAATACTGAAGGGTTCCTGTTTCTTTGGGAACCTGGAAACACTACTTTACTACACAACACTACTTTTGTGTTCCCAAAGAGCAAAGTTCACCCTAGAGAGGCTTAAGAATGTCCCGAGGAGGAAAAGGAAAGAGGTTTCTGTAGGTATTGTGCTTTTGCTGATAGACTTGGCTTTATATACAATTTCTGGGGGTTTTCCATATCCATGAGCTCTATTTTACTCCACAAAGAGGTAAAGCAGGAGGAGTAGTGATCTGACAATAAGATCTGTATCAATGCTTTGCAAAGAAAAGCACATGGAGATGAGATTTTTTTATATCTGGAAAGTTTAAAGTGACTTCATGCAACATTTTGTATACAATATGAACATTTTCAGGTTTGTATCTGAAAACAAAAAAATATTTTGTCATCAAATTGGTGTCATCTAAAAATCTCTGGGTACTTACATTTTGTTTTTTTATATCTCATATTTGAACCGATTATAAATTTATCACCAAATTGCAGTGTTTGGAAACTAGAATTGTTTTTAAACGTGTTTTTTTTTTCATCTGGTTCATAAGCTACAACTCAAATCTGAGCCACACATAAACGTGAGGTTTAAAAAGTTTTATAAAGATAGTTATTGTCATTTGCAAACAAATGTGATCATCTGGAAAACCCATCAGGTCGAAGGTCCGTGGTTTAAACGGGTGATCCAGTCTGACAGTACAACTCCTGCAGAACCACCACAAGGTCAGCGAAGATTCAGACAAGCAACTCTATTAAATATATCAAGATAATTACAAACACTGGTTTGTAATAAAATTGCACATGACTAATAAAAAGGATTCCTGTGTTTGTCATAATTAAATGTAGGATATTTTCAGCTGTTTTGGCTAATCAGAAATTGTACTTTTAAACTGTTTTTAGACTGCTACCTGCAGTTGTATCTATATTTTGCACACTATTAAAAAAAAAGATTAAGCATTGCACAAATGTTTTTGTGAGTTTTGCACAAATAACAGCTGCACAGAATTTACTTTGTGATCTTTGGGCTTTGTTTGGATGCTCTAATGAAAGAAATGCTAAACGTTGAGCTAAATGGAAAATAAACCACAGGTGAGTGGATTTACAGAGTTGAAAGTTGAAAGGTTGCTTTTCCTGACTTGCTCTTGACGAAGGCGGATACATTTCCCTCCCGCTCCTGTTTCCCTCCTCCTGTGAACCCTACCCGAGCCTCTCTTTACATATGTTCCGAAGTGTAATTTATGGATCTGGTCAGCTGGTCTTTCAACGCAATTGATAAAATGTTCTCAGCGAGAAGACAGGGCGAAGGAGAGCCCTCTTGCCCTGACGGGACACTTGCAGCTGGATACATTATAGATTCCTGGGGCAGTGGAAGATCATGTGCCTGTCCATATTGTCCGTTGAGGATGTAGAAGATGCGTACATAATTGGATTTATAATAACAGGTTTTCTGCTTTTTGGAGTTGGCGGTGACCTGGCATATTGACAAATTCGGATATCGACGGCAGCTGTTCTGGCCATTGTAAGGCTGCCTGTGAAGGAATGTGCCGTGCAGTGAGCACTCAGACAGATGCTGTGTGAGCTGAGCTGTAAGCTGGACATGATTTCTGAGAAACGCAGGCTACCGGTACTTGCGGATCCTGAAACTCATTGGAGAGACAGAATCGACCTTGGAGAAACTACAAGCTCGGCCCGGCCGTGCTGACTAGAATCTGGCTGTTTGGAGTCGCCATTGAGATGTACCAGTAGAACTATAAGGCAGACAGAAATCAAGCAGAGTCGGCCAGACCCAAAATAACTGTTGTTAAATGATTCTGGTTCCCCCGTGTCAGCCTTCAGTTGGCCAACTATCTCAAACTCTCCTGGATGTTTTGTGAACAAGAAGCTCTGCTCCCCCTCTACCCGCTCCCTTCCCGAGGACATCTGTGGACCTGTATCAGAGCTGAGACGGCTGCACCATCTGATCAGGATTATGGGGACTATCTGGCAGTGTCCACGGACAAACTCACTGCCTTTGTCGGCCTTCCTCATGCATATATGTATCATGATGTCATCAGTATGTTGCTGTTTCTGTGATGAGATTTTTTTTTTTGCAACTTCCACAATGTGTCCCGTCTAGGACACAGTGTGAGATATGATTTTATTTTATACCTCCCCTTTCCCCGTGTTTCTCTTTTCCTATCTAAATGAAAAAGGCTGCGCCTCCCACAGGGCCACGGCCTCAGACACCTCCGTCCCCCCTCCGTCTGTTTGTTTATGTTTTACTCGGACGGGCTGTACTGAAATGTAATTTTGTTGTGCTTCGGTGCAATGAAAATAAAGCTGATTCTGATTGCTCTCTGTTTCCCAAAGTCAGAGTTTAAACTCTTCATATTCTGATTGGTCACAAACGAGAAAAATTCATGTCTGTCAAAAAGCACCCAAATATTTTTTTTATGTGGAGTCAAATATATTGAAATTGACCGTACAACTTTGATGCTGCTGTTGGCTGCAACTGTGGGTATTTTCTTTCAGTAGCAATTTATTTTAAATGATATTTTATAGCTTAAATGGATGACAGAAGTCAATTAGGTCCATCAATCTGCATGAATCATAGTCAATTCAGTTCAAATCAGATGGGCTTTAGCTGCTGCACACTTGTGTGTAAATCCTAATTTCTCTTTTAATAATCTTTTAATTCGCTGAAATCAAAGTGAACAAATCTTGTAAACGATATTTTGCACAATCTCATGAGAAACTGCGAGACCTCATGAGATGTGCTAGTGGTAGAAGATGTTGACGTGGAGTTTTAGCCACTGCCACACCAAACTTTCAGAATCAGAATAAACTTTATTTAAACTTTAACTCAATGTTGGTAACATTACCTAAATTATGTTAATTTTTGTGATGGCAACCCTTTAAATTTGTGTTGACTCCAAAAATGTAATCAGTTGATATCTAATATAAAAGAAAAAAAGCATGGACGCAGATGAATGATGGCCAGCTGAGCCACGTAGATACGTTTATTTTCTCAGACATTTTTTTTTATTAAACACAGTAACCGATCCACTTTATGATATGATGCACACTTGTAAGCCGAGCAGCATAATCTGCCAGCCATTCAAGGCATTGACTAGTAAGTGACATTCTGTCTTCTGATACACACATTATATACAAGCTAAGGAGTGACGGGTGAGAAACCCTAATAAGTCATGAATGAGACAGAGCACTACTGTCACACATGAGCAAAAGCATATGACATGAAAACAATAAAGTCAACGGGTGCTTTATTATAGTCTAATGTGGCTTCCTTTCTTGACTGGCAGTTTTATAAACCAATCCTAGTTTCTGACATGTTGTTAATCTGCAACTAAAGTGAAGAAAAGACTCCAACGTAGACTATTAAAATGCACACAAGTGAGCTCTTTTTTAACGCAAGCACCTGCAGCTTCTTAAATTCCCGTTATGCATCTGATAAAAAACAGCTCAGAGAGAGTTTAAACAACATACAACGAAAGAGAACAGAGATTCACAAGTATAAAGGACAAAAACCGTAACTCCAGACCCGCGTTTTCTAGATAACAGATCCCTTTCCTTTGCCCAAATTAGGAACATCCTGTGACAATAAATAAGCATCTTTACCCACCCAAACTACTCATGACTATCCCTCATGTTTTCCTAAATCGGTGTTGTTCTGAGTGAGCAGCTTCATCCCGTCCATCGACTTGTGGGATGTGTGTGTGTGTGTAAGTGTGTGTGTGTTTGGGGACAGAGATGCTCCTGTAGCGAGGCCTTGTTACACCTTGACCCTTCACCAGATATATCCCCCATCGTCCACCTCTCCCACCTCCCCCTCCTCCTCCTCAGCCTCTTCGGCAGTCTCCTCTGCTTCTTTCTCCTCTTCATCTTCCCATCCGACCGCGCTGCCAAAATCTCCCGAATATGCCATTTCAGAATCTGCGAAACGAAACAGAGCGTGCAGGGAAGTTAAATGTATCAACCCTGGCTTCCTTGAACTTTCCCTTTCGTTTACAATGAGATTTATAAAATTTTAAAAATAAATCACTGACAGCAGTGACATGTGTTTGACTTCGTCTGGATTTTAATAGCTCTTTCTAAACCTTGCCAGGGGAGCCGTTCTTATCAGGCGCAGGTTTTGGTCCAACCAGCCGCCGTTTATCTTAAAAAGTCTTTTCTCACAGTGACAAGCAGCACTTTAGAATGCAAATGAATCTGGACACATGAATGTGGCTCTGGTCCCCTGAAGTAAGCGGTGTTGCTCGAGCATAAAGGGGGCCCTTGTGCAGAATGCTTATAAGGCTGCAGTCAGGAAGCAGCCAAAATGGATCCGATATTTTAAGCCATTTCTGTAACAGTTCTATTTATTCACTGACAGATGATGAAATCTAGCGGGCTTACCACAATCTGGTTTGCCACGAATCCTAGATCCGGCAATTTCTCCTCCGTTTTGGTCAGCGCACCAGCACTCGCCCCTGTCACACTGCTGCTTCCTGTAGTAGCCGTCTTCATTGCAGCTGGGGATAAATCGACCTGCAAACACGTGTTTAAACAAATTAGGTGTAGAAAAGCGAACTTACAGTACAAACGACATTATCTCTGAACTCGGTAATGGAAACAGCACATGCAGATATCCAGAAAATTGTCTGTCATCACACATTGCGCTGAGCCGAGGTGAGAATGTAACGCACGCAGCATATGTGGCAGCCGGTTCCATATTCCATGAATACAAATGTGCTCGTGGAGCAAGATGCAAAGAAATAAGGCAAAGGATTGTATAAAAACAATTAAAGCAGCTCCATATCTCCAAGTTAAAGACAACGCACAAGTGCTTTAAACCAGTGGTGTAGTCTACATTTTTGTAGTGCGTATACTGGGCTTAGAAACCAAAGTACACTGGTTAGTACAATGTAATTGTCAATTTATTTAGATTTTTAAACATATTGAACATTTCAAAATTTCTCCAATGCTTATATTTGATTAAATGTACAACAAACTTTGTACAACAGTTGGCTTTTGTATTAAAAACATGTTATATAATTTATATAACAGTATCAAAGCAAAACATGTTCAAGTATTAAGTAGTAAGTACAGAATTCTACAATAATTCGCTGGATAAGTGAATGTAATAAACAAGTGCTGTATAAAGATAGATTGTTACGGAAGCGTTTTAACTGCCATTTAACATACCAATGACACGTGCCCAATGACATGCTACATATCAATGCACATTTTTAAGTGGGTATACTGACATTTTAAAGCTTTTCTAGTGGGTATACTTTGTATACCCCCGTATCGCGTAGACTACACCACTGCTTTAAACATGTAGCATACTTAACGGTCACCAACTGTAGTTGCTTCAAGGAAGTTATTCAAACTAAGAAAGCAGCAGAGAAGTTTATAGCAGAGTTAAGTTTTATAACAATATCTCCGCTTTACAACATGTCACGGAGCACTGTTCAATCCATCATCTGAAAATGCAAAGAGTACAACAAACTGTAAACCTCCATCCATTCAGACATAGCTTGAGCTTTTTTGCAAATAAGAGTGGGTAAAAGAAATAGTAGCAATAGTAAAATAAGAAGCAATTTAAATAGTCTAATTATAAACAGGCGTTTTTACTAACGTAGTCATGAGTGGGTGTGTTTAACACCTAAATGTCATAATTTGCCAATGCCAGAAGCTGGTATTGTCATTTTGTTGTCCATCTATCCGTTATCTTTACTCGCTTCTTTCCTTTTTGGTTTCCATGGGGTCACTGGTGCCCATTTCCAGCAGTCAGGGGGCAGGGGACAAGGTCGCAAGTCCATCACAGGGACACATAGAGACAAGCGAGACAAACAACCATTCACACTCTCAACTAGGGAATATGTAAATTTACCAATCAGCCTAACATGCATGTTTTTGGTCAATGGGAGGAAACCAAGAAAACTCACGCATGCACAGAGAGAACATGCAAACTCCACACAAAAAGGTCCTCGGCTGGGATTTGATCCAGCGACCTCCTTGCTGAGAGGTGACAGCTCTACCAACTGTGCCACCGTACCGCCTCATTTTGTTGTAACAGTGAAAATAATGTGTATTTTTATTTATTTTTATTTACCCTTTATTTATACAGGTAGTCTCATTGAGCCACGAGAACTCATTTTCAAGAGAGACCCGTTTAAGGAGCAAATGGTGGGGGTTGAGGGACTTGCTCAGGGGCCCAGAGTGGGGCAAATGAGGGTGGAGGCAGGTGTGGGTGCTTCACCTTTTCTACCCACATTTTGATTTTGACGGTACCTGGAGCTGAACCTGCGAATTTCCGATCACCGGTCCATCTCCTCTAACCTTTGCGCCACCATCCATTATCTTTACCCGCTTATTCCATTTTGGGTCACGGGGGTCGCTGGTGCCCACGTCCAGCAATCACTGTGCGAGGAGCGGGGTACACCCTGGACGGGTCGCAAGTCCATCACAGGGACACATAGAGACAAACGAGACAAACAACCATACAGTCTCTCACTCACACCTAAGGACAATTTAGAGTTACCAATCAGCCTAACATGCATGTTTTTGGTCTGTGGGAGGAAACCGGAGCACCCGGAGAAAACCCACACATGCACGGAGAGAACATGTAAACTCCACCCAGAAGGCCCCTGGATCGGGGTTTGAACCAAGGACCTGCTCGCTGAGAGGCAGCAGCTCTACCAGTTGCACCACTGTGCTGCCCACCTTTGTGCCACCATCCATCCATCCATCCATTATCTTTACCCGCTTATTCCATTTTGGGTCACGGGGGTAGCTGGTGCCCATGTCCAGCAATCACTGTGCGAGGGGCGGAGTACACCCTGGACAGGTTGCAAGTCCATCACAGGGCCACATAGAGACAAATGAGACAAACAACCATTCACTCTCTCACTCACACCTAGGGACAATTTAGAGTTACCAGTTAGCCTAACATGCATGTTTTTGGTCTGTGGGAGGAAACCGGAGTACCCGGAGAAAACCCACACATGCACGGAGAGAACATGCAAACTCCACCCAGAAAGGCCCCTGGACCGGGGTTTGAACCAAGGACCTGCTCGCTGAGAGGCAGCAGCTCTACCAGTTGCGCCACCGTGCTGCCCACCTTTGCGCCACCATTTCCCCATAAATACTTTGTATAAAAAATATTTTAAAAAGTATGAAAATCTAATAAGAATCAAAAACAAATGTTCTTCCACTCTTTCAGGAGAAGGTGGCTCCAACGCTCACCACCACTCCCTGTCCTTGAGGAGTCCTGACTCAGAGAACAGTCAGCCTACCAACGTCTGGAGTGCGCACACACACACATGTCCAGAATAACACACACATATTCACTTATTCACCCTCGTACGCACACATTCAGAACAGACGGACGACTGATTTTCTTTGCCGTCTGTCAGCATCGTGTTATAATCCACTACGCCAACCACGGACTAATCCCCACCTCCTACTTGTCAACGACTCGACAGAACCTTTAGCCAAGAAAGACGCATCAAAACTGGATGACTGGCTTTTACTGAGTCAAATAGTCAGATACCCACCAAACTTTCTCTTGCCACCATCCAGTACTTGAATCTTTTCAAGTTCAGCCAGGCAAGGCGGCTCTAGAAGGAGAAAACAAATAAATGCTCAAAGCTTGGTGGTGCAGCGGTTTGGACAGCACTAATCTAAAACTAATAATCCCACACAGATAGTAAAGCATTTAGAATCATATAACATTGTATGGTTTTGTATTATATCTTACTGTGATATTATCATTTTTTTATACGAGAAAGTAAAGTCAGAGTTTGTTCGACAGAAATAAATAGAGTAGCCCCTCGCTACTTTGCGGTTAATTTTTCGTGGACTCGCTCTATCGCAGTTTTTCAAAACAAGATTGGACATGACACACAATTAGCTGACTATTTAAAATTAATTATTTTAAATTATTTAGCACCTGCAGCAGCTGTATGTAGCCCACATCTGCAGGAGAAGCTTCCTCCTGCAACCTGTCAATCTCCGCTCTGCAGTGGAGAAGTGGGCGTTGCCGAGAGCACTGACATATGGCAGACAGCTGAGATCATGACACGCTGTGCTCTTTTAGAGCGTTTAGAGTTTAGATAATTGTTAGGGACATTGCAAGAGTGTGGGAAGGGTTTAAAACGCCTTAATATATAACTGTACAGTTGTCCCTCGTTTATCCTGGGGGATACCCTGAAGCCCCGTGATAAGTGAAAAAACGCAAAGTAGGAATAGTAGTACAAGTAGTAAGAAGTAGTTTATTTTATTAAATATATATATATATATATATATATATATATATAAAGGTGTTTTAAACCCTTCCCACACTCTTGCAATATTCTAAACAATGTTTCTAAACTCTATACACTCTAATAGAGCACAGCATGTCATGATCTCTGCTCTCTCTGCCACCTGCAAGAGCTCTTGGCCACGCCCACTTCTCAGCTGCAGAGCGGAGATGAGCTGATTAGCTGCAGGAGGAAGATTTTTCCTGTAGCTTGGGCTACACAAAGGTGCTGCAGGTGCAAAAATAATTTATTTAAAATAAAAATCCCATGCCGATCGTGTGGCTCATTCATCACTCAGCTAAATGTGTGTCATGTCCAATCTTATTTTGAAAAACGGCGATAGAGCGAGTCCGTGAAGAACGAACTGCGAAGTAGCGAGGGACCATTGTATATAAATACAAAATAAACTACTACTTACTACTACTACTACTTGTGTACATAATTTTGTTCCATCTCATGTGACAATAAAGATTACTTCAACTTGAACTAGTGTTTCCCTACTTTGCAGTTTTTCACTTATTACGTGTGTGTGTGGTGGTGGGGGGTGGTCCCAAACCCCTGTGATAAATGAGGGACTACTGTACTTAAAAACCAAAACTGAGCTTTCCTATGTGGGTAAATTGTCCATCATCCTCAAATGTGGGTGATCATGTAAGACACAGTAAAATAACATTATCATGAATTTCCTTGTTTCTGCTTAGATGTCTAAGTGACAGGCTTATTTAGCAGCTGCATTAAAGCCATTTTGTCAACAAGCACAGAAAGGTTTTTAACACCACACACTGTTTCAACTCATCCAGGGACACAAGCTTTAGAAGACAAATAGTGACTGAGCAGAACAACATACAGAGGCAGCTGTAAAGGAAAAACTTTGTCAGACAGACATGAAATGATCCCTGCAGATGCAAACGTTACATTACATCCTCAGAACACTCACTCTCTCTCCAGAAGCAGAGGCACCACTCAGCAGTGGACACCTTGCCGTCCCTGTAGGAGTCGCAGGAGTTAAAAAAAGGCCGAATGCAGACTTCATACTTGTCCAGGTTGATGGCAGCCAGCTCGGCCTGATCTAGGTACAGGTCATTGTTGGTGTCTAGTTTGGAAAACATCCAGCCGATGGAGTCCTTGCAGCTGGCGACGAGGCTCCTGTCCAGCACTGCCAACACAAACAAACAGTTATTTATTTCAGCCGACAGCTGCACAAAGAGAAAAATAAAATCATGTCAGCGCTCTTGCATAAATCATAACGCTTTATTCATTGTTGTCTTTGTTACTTAGTCTAAACCTATTATCTATTCACATATTTAACAAATTAAATGAAAATTAAATGATTTTGTTTTGACCAATCTGTGATGAAGGATTTCCATTTTGGACTTTGGTAAATTCTTGGTATTTTAACCTGAAGTCCACAGTATGAAGCAAGTTCAACATATGCAAGGGACCTTTAGGTGATCTAACTAAACTAATAGTGACCACACATATTGGTAGCAAACCATTGGTAATTAGCTCAATAAAGACAATAAGGCTGCACAGAAGTCTGTTGGAGTCAGTCTCCCCACCATCACAGATATTTACACCTCCAGATGCAGGAAGAGGGTCACCTGCATCACGGAGGACCCCACTCACCCAACAAACACACTTTTTGCCCCGCTCCCCTCAAGAAGGAGGTTAAGGAGCATTAAGTGTAGAACCACTAGACTGAGGAACAGCTTCTACCCTGAGGCTGTTAGACTCATGAATATCTAACCAGAATAATCACTGTGAAAAATCACATCATGTTGCTGCTGATCTGTTTCATGTTGCTGTGTTCATTCATGCTCATCTGCTCACACAGACTCATGTTCGTGCTGCTGTTAGGTGTATTGTTTTTATGCTACTAGTGCTTAGTGTATTTTTAGTTAATGTTTTTCTTAGTTTATATCTTAGATCTTATTACTGTTTTTCTTTTACATTTTATACTTTTGTTGGATGTAACTGGGATCCTGTGTACACAATTCCGTTCCACCTCATGTACCACATGTGGTGCGAATGACAATAAAGAACCCTGAATCCTTGAAGACAACCCAGGGGTTTTGATAAGCGTATAACAGAACATCAGAGCCATGGTTCAGTACATAACGTGGTATAAGCATCACAGTTTGGTCCAATATTATTAATGCTATTTTTTTAAGGCAACAACTCTGCTAAAAGCAAACAAAGAAAAACCATCACAACCCCAGTATGAAGGATTTAAGGTAGCAGGTTATGTACAACACTACAGGAGTTGTATAGAATAAATACAAAAAATAACCTTCCATAAATATTTGAAAGCATGTATTATTTGACACAACTGCTTGCCATATACATTTCACTGCTTTCTGCTGCTTCACTGCTCCCCTAGACCATAACAAGGAAAATTTTCCACACATCTGATTTGAAACTTGCAGGCCGGTTTGTGTTCTTCTGAACCAGCTGTTCATACTTGATGTGAAATATCTCAACTGTATCTGCACTGGACTCGTTTTTTGTCTTGTAGGTTTGCAAATTGCAGTTAATTAAATGCCGGCTTCTAGATGGGAGTGGTGATCACCTGCAACTGACGTATTAGCTTTGCACTTCAGTGGGCTCGTCCAAAACCGCTGTACTGTGACAGTTTGGCACAAGCACATGTATCTTTAAACCTCTAGTCTTTGATTCAGTGTGTTTGTGTAAAGCAGGGAGAGGAGCAATCATAATCTCACGGCAGAAAGAAAGGGTGACTGAAAATATGTAAATATAATTCATAAGATTATCAAAGCTTAAAATGGTTTAGCCAGTAGATCTGAAATTTATTTTGGTTTTCAGGCGGAGTCCCAGCTGATTTAAATGCTCTTTACAGGAAAGGAGAATCACAACATTTTATTTTTTTTTGTAAATGTCTATGTTAATTCTATTTACTTCAGGTTCTAAAAGTTTTTTTTTTGTGGGATTTTAATTTAGTTTTTTAAACCATGTTTAATGAATGCAGATATAAAATTTGAATAATCCTTTGTTTGTTGGTGTATTTATTTATTTTTTTACTATTTTTTTTTAAAATTACATTGCAAGTATATTGAGCCAGACAACAGTACTGTAAATACAATATTTACAAGCCCCCCTCGTAACAGCTGCGAGTGATTTGGTGAACGTGTTAACCTGATGTGGTGCTGGCTGCAGCGGTTCTGGCCCCAGGCTTGCTGTTGTTGTTCTGCTTGGCGTTGGTCTGCAGTAGCTGGAACCAGTCCCTCAGACGCTCGCCGAGGTCGGACAGATCCTGGCCGGTGCAGCTCTCTGTGAAGGCGGGAAACAAACAAACAAAAAAATGCAGCTGATGTTTGGTTCACTTATTTATGCGATTCTGATTGCTGAGCTAGAGGGCAGGTGTGTAATAGCAGTGATCCAGATGTCAGACTTACTGTGTGAACAATGATTCAGCACTCACACTACTGTTTGTCTTTTGATTTATTTTCCCCTTTGTTCTTTGTAATCTAACTACTTCTGCTGGGCTATTTTAGCTGTTAATATATTAAAACGTTTACACTTTTCAAAACGTTTAACTTTATTTAGAAATACCTTCCCCGAAATCCATTGGGATCTCTTTATTTCCTTCATGAACACTTTTCTCTTTGAAATCGTATTCAGCAAACTTTTTTCATCTATCGATATTCTTTTGCTACTTTTAGCTTCTAGCTCTTGTTTTTTTTTTTTTTTTAGCTTTTAGCGAGTCTTTTGACACTGTCAGCTTATGCTTGTTTCAGTTTTCAGCTAGATCTGCCTCTTTTTGCGTTAGTGCTTCAGTTTCAGCTTCTGCTAATTTCAACAAGGATTCACGCTGAATTTTCAGAGAAAATGCAATTTCTTCAGTTGGTTTATTGTTTTGTTTTTGTCGGAGGTTTTGATCTCACCATGTTTCGCCTCCTTGGATGCCGGAGCTGCGGTTGGACAAGGACACAGACCTGAACACTTCAGGGTGAGATCCTTCCCTGTAAGACACGCCTGCTGCTCCAGCTTGCACTGCAACACACCCGTACACATTCATTAACGCACACACACCAGCCAGCGACACATCGACAAGGGGACACAAAGGTGAACTAAAATGAGTTATTGCTGCAACACAGATCAAATATTCATGAGGCGACTGACTGTAAGCTCCGATTCAAATCGGAGACTTGCTCCTAAATACGTCGTCCGACCTCTGCTTGCACACAAGGTCGGAAATAAAGATCCAAAAAGAGAACGCATTAATCAATAAACACATAGGACTCTGTCACCACAAGCCACCAATTGGTCCCTGCGAGGCAACAAACCATGGGTCTTTGTCACACTTTTACCCCCTGAGACTTTCCTCACGTTGTTCTGCTGAGCAGAAGGTGAAAGTTTTGAATAAACACGTCAGTGTTTTAGCTATTTGTCACACAATGCATTCATCTACAGATCATCAACATCATCTACTCTATAGATGATGTTGAGCAGTATGTGTAATTTTCCCTCCGCTATTAAAAGGAATTCAAGAAGAAAACAAAAGAACACGTATTAAATTATATAATACAAGAGAAGTCAACAGAAGCACAAACTACAGCCTGAATTTTTTAACAAAATCTCAGCAAAAACTTAATGATATAATCTTCATGAAAAAGGGATTTATTCTTCAGATGTTGTCTAAGTTCTTCCCGATAAACTCCATAAATATAATCTAAAAAACATAGGATTTGCATGTGGGAAATATGTTTAGACTGTAGAAATATAAATAATTATTAGGATTATTGGATTTTTGGGCGATATTCAATATGCTGATATATTAAAACTTGTTTGGCCGATAACCGATACCGATATTTTGCCCCTAGACCTACTTACAGAGACTACATAGCTTTCTCTGCTGTGGAATTAAAATACTAATTATTCTGCATGGTCTTTGTCAATGTGGCCTGCTACCAAATGCAGATGCCAAAAAGGGGCCAAAAAATGATGTAACACTTCAACTTGGATTATGTTTAATGTCAAATTTATTCATAACATTTGCACTCTCTAATACAATGACAACACTTGAACAGTGCAAATTTGTACATTTTTACAAATCTAAACTCAATGGCGTGGGTGATGTCATAATATTGGGCTGCCGCTGCAGACATCCTTGTCATTAGTTTGTCATACAAAAACAGCGCCTTTCATATACATGAGTTATTTTGATGGAATGGCCGATGTCTGATACTTAACTGTATCGCTAATATCGACCGATACCATGCCGATAATATTGTGCATCCCTAATAATTATGTCTTGGATTACCAGGACATAAACCCCATGTTAGTCAGAAAATACAGCAAAACACAAATCAAATTTTTTTTTACAATAGAGACTTAGGAAATGAAGCGAAACTAATTCTTAGCTAATTTAAAAAGAAACCCATCAAAATATGTAATTTTTGTAAAGTTAAAACACAGAAGACAGCAAAGTAACAAAAATAAATAAATGAAAACAAAACCAGAACTAACCATTAAATTATAAGACAAAAAGTAATTTTATGATTTTTTTTTGCTTCCTGCCTTTTATTTTGCACATTTTTTGTGTGTTTTCAGGAATTACTGCTGTAATTCTTTTCTGTTCTTTTATTTCCACCTTAAGAGAGCTTCACTAAAAATAGAGTTGTTTCTGAAAATCACAATTGTCTGAAATTCCAGTGTGCTCTTTGCACACTTCTGTTTATCTTGTGGCATTTTCTGACACGTTTGGTATAACTGTGCTCTGTTAGGTGAAACGTTTTCAGAGCTACTCCATCCATCCATGCATCCATGCATCCATGCATCCATGCATCCATCCATCCATCCATCCATCCATCCATCCATCCATCCATCCATCCATCCATCCATCCATCCATCCAAC